CCGGCACGCTGGAGGGTGCGACCCAGTTTTGGTGCTTGTTACGTGGCTCACAGCAGCGTCAACACGCTGGAAAAGCTAAATTTAGGAGACAAACAGGGCTGGTGGTGTTACACACCCAGCCAGGACTTGCTCTGTTACAAGACAGCTGGAGAATCGATGCCATCCGCTCACCACACGCGAAGCCCTCGCTGCCTGAGTGAAAGCGTTACCAAGTCACTCGGAATAAAATTGCCACTAAATGCTGTTTGGGAGACAGAAAAAAAAAAGAAAAGGGCTAATCCTCACTCTTTCCCAGCCATTGTAGGAAATGAAAACGGCTATTGCTGCCTGGTAGAGAGTCCAATTATGAATAATGTGCGTTCTCTCCCTTCACAAAGGATGAAAGGCATCAGAGCTGGTGGTGACATTTTAAGACCGGAGATGTAAGAGCGAATCTGAGCCTCGTTGCAAGCCCAGCTTTACCCCAATAAAGAAACACTTTCTGCAGTCAATTGCCTTGCAGCATAGCTTGAAGCCCCGCTATTGATCTAGCATCTGTTATAAGCAGATAATCATCGCCACTGTGCCGTGGCTTCTATGATGGGGTCTAAAAGCACTTTCCAGAAGCTGGTTGAGGGCTGTTTTCTGCTCTCCCCCACAGCTGCAGGCAGGCAGAGGTTTGCGGGGGAGCCCACAAAAATCTCGCAGGCTTACAGAATTTGAAGGCCAGAAAAAAAAAACAAAAACCCACATTAAATCACCCCCAACTCATCCATCTCCCAACGCTGTAAACTTCAGCTAACTGAGGTGTACTCCCTGCTGCCATCTCAGCCCTCACACAGCTATTTCATACCCTGCAATTTCCTTTCCCCAGCGAGGTGCTGACACACCACCATCAAACCACTGCTCAATCCCCCCCTTCTGTAAGACAGGCAGTGAGAGTTGCTGAAATCCCCCAGCATCAGGATTTTTTTCTCCTGTCCTAAAAAGCTTTATCAGAGTTTCAGCTCTCACTGAGGGTCTGAATCCCAGCAACTTCCCAGCTTCCAGCTGCTTCCCAGCAGCATGGGGAGATTTTGGGCCAGGCACCTTCCTCCGAGTTTAGCAAGAAGTGGTCAGAGGTAGGTGAAATCAGGCTGCCAGTGTCTGCAATCTCTCCCCTTCCCGCCAGCACAAGCACTTCTTACCCACTTGGCAGATTCCTCCAATCTCCAAAGAAGGAGAAAAGGATGGGAAATTAAAAATAAATGAACCAAGAGATACACATCCATCAGGAGCCAGGCGTTGTCAGCCCAGGTCCCTGTGCAACTGCTGCTTCTTTAATCAAAACCTCATGCAGCTTAAACGCTTGACAGAGGTCTAGAACAGAGATCTTGTTACCCTGAACAGGAAAAGCTGCAACCTTGAAGAACAAAATCGCTGTCTGACGGGGTCTGTGTTCTTTAAAATCACGCTAAATTACGCCAAGCCTGTTCCTAACTGTGACATTTGGGGTTTCACCCTGCAGATTCCTGTGAGACACACGGGTGTCTCAAGGGGGTGACCGGAGGTGACGGGAGGAGCGAGCTCTGTGGTGGCAGCTGAAGATGAGCCATTTCTAAATCGGTCCCTGACGCCAGACCTAAATTTTTAAGAGGCTCAAATCAAGAAAAGATTGCTGATGGATGCACTCCCCACTTGAAACTCACTTGCGTGGTGATGGACGTCAGACCGGTGGCCTCATGGCTATGCCTGGTTGCTACTGAGAGTGACAGAAACCTTCCAGCTTTCTAGAAAGTCCCCATGAAAAGGCTCAGCCAAGCTCTTTAAAGCCTCCTGCATGCAGGTTATCTGCCTCTCCTGACTCGAAAATATTTGTCCCTGAGGAGCTGTTATTTAATACCTTCCTTAGTTACCAAGGGATGGGAAGCTTCTCCCATGGTTCTGCAGCTTTCCAAACACAGATGGGATTTATTGAAGTTCCTGCTGCTCTGGCCTCATTAACGTTTTATGGCACAGCTCCAGAGATGTGCCTGCTCCTTGCCGGGTGCCCCTCTACAGCCCCACGGTAGCTCGGGTCTTCCAGCTGCACTGAACATCCTTGGGGAGTCTGAAGTGATTTCATTCCCAAAACAGCTCCACTGCTGCCTTTTGGGACCTCACCTGCGTCCCTGCCTCATGCAGGACCACGGCTCCCAGCAGCTCCTTTCATAACAGCCACGGCAGGTGGGAAAGCAGAGACAGCATGAGGAGGAGAGGGGAAAAAAAAAAAAGGGAAAAAACAGAGAATAGTGCAGGAACACATCCAAGCTGTGCTGTGGTCAACATAACCTGGGGGCTGCCCAGGGAAGGATGGGATTTTAACATACATGGAGAGCACGGAAGCAGAAGAAGGGGTGCAAGGCCTGGGTTTGGTGGGGAAATGCAGTGGGCAGCCCTGGGGATTCATTCCTGGTAGCCTCCTGCACACGCCCACAGCGAGAAGGTGGGAATGGGGAGTCCCGAGGCCTTTTTGGAAGAGCTTTTCTCCCCTGTGGAGAACAGGAGGGAGCATCAGCACGACCCAGCTGGAGTCTGCAAATTGCCCCACTTAGGCTCTGGTCCTTGAAATTGCTCTCTTAGCCAAAGTACATCCATCGACCTGACAAGCATCAGGATTTTCTCTGGAGCCACGCTCCTCCATAGCCTCCAGAGTTCGTGCTTCATCCCCAAACCCTGCAGGTTTTGTCCCAGAGAAACATGCCTGCTGCTTACTAGGCTATCTTGCTATGCTGGAGGCCTTGATATGCACCTCTCCATGATCCAAGCACTGCATGGAGCCAGGGTTTCCCCACCACATATTTATTCAGAGGCACTGCATAGCAAGGACAACCCGGCGCCAAACTTTGGAAGAGGCAGACCTGGCTGGAGTTCAGCAGAAACAGGGAATTAAGACACTGAACTAAATCAATCCATCCCCACCCAGTTTCTATCCAAATCAGGAATTTCATGCACAGGAGGGATTTTGAGCACGGTCCCACTTTACTTATTGAGCAGACAGAGCAGAGTGCTTGGCACTGTGCAGAAATCCAGTCTTTGCACTTAAGCTCTTGGAAGCCCCGAGTAATTCAGATGCAGAAGAGATCTCAGCTGCTGGGAAGGAACCCAAATAGCCAAGGACAGAGGGAGCCTGTGCAGGGATGTAGGGAAAGAAAGAGCTGCTGGCTGAGTGCAGGCAGGGGACACTGATCACACAGAAAAAAGGATGGGGAGAAGGTAAAGGAAGCAGGTCAGGGGAAAACAGGGATGTCTGGGGTTGCTCTTGCTGAAGTGCACCCAACAGTGGGGACTTGTTTAGGTCTGCAGTACCCACAGATCCCCTGCAAGAGCCTTCCAGAAGTGCCTGATGTGAGCCACACACTGGGACTGAAAACACCAGGGAGATGCTCCGGGGCTTGGGCAGAGCACGGATGGGTGGAGGGACCGTGAGATCCACCCGGCCCGTTACAGCCGGGGAAACACGGAACGCCACGCTCACCTCCCCAGCTTTCCCCAACACCCAGCTCGGGCTGCTCGCTCAAACCCACGCCGAGATGCCTCCTGCTCCCAGCCGCAGCCCTGCACGTCTGGCTTGGAGTGCCACCTGCTGCCAACGGCACCGCTCTCCAGTCACTGGGAGGGGACAACAGCAACCCGGAGCAACGAACTTCCTGCTGTTACATCAGCTTTCCCTGTCCTTTAACATCAGCCAAACTCCTGAGCCAAAAAGCAACGCTATTTCCCAAGCTGCAGGCGTCCCACGAGTCGCAGGCATAGCAGCAGATGCTAATAAAGTACTTTTTTCTTTCTCTTTCATGCAGTTTTTTTGCCAGAGCCAGTCCCTCCCCCCAGAGACCACATCCTGAATCTTCTTGTTCATTGATTCTTTATGCTAAATGATGACTCCGCAGTCGAAATAATGTGGCTTATTCCAGCTCGCATTTCAGACACCGTGAGACTTTTTAATAACGAGTTGCATGAAAAATTAGGGAGGCTGCAACAAAGAGCTCCGACAGAGGTTTCCAAAGTGACTCACAGCCAGGAGAGCCTCGCTTTTCCAAAGCCCAGCGTGAGACAATCTCAAGAGCCCCCGCGCTCAGAGAGAGATGAGTCCTCCCCCTCTGGAAAAATACGGCCTTTTTAAGGAGAATTTCCCAGGGAGAGAATCCCTGCCGGGAGGTTTGGTGGGCAGATCTGGGAATCGTGGCTGAAACGACATCCCATTCCCATGAGTGCTGGCAGGGACATTTCACCCCACACTTCAGCTGTGCTGCTGAGGGTGCTGCAGGGTGGGAGTCACCTCACTCTACAGCCACCCTGGGCTCCCTGCTTGGCACACCGGCTCTGCAATGCTCAGAAAGGGGGCCAGCGATTATTCCTGCTGCTCTTTCAGGGAGACAGCAAACCACAGAGCACTGTGGCCTCCACAGACACAGAGAACACCACCCGTGCACAGGTACCCTGCTCCCATTGGGGCTGGCTTGCTGCCAACCCTGCAGCTCTTTGCCAGGCTTTGCAGCGTGGTGGAGGAGGAATTTTTTTTTCCATGTTTAACTTCTGGCTGATTGTTTTTCCTCCCCGCCATCCACACAAACAGCTGCCAACACATTTCAAGGGGAAGCAGCGGGCAAAGTATGCAGTGCAGCCCCCGTGATGGGGGTTAACGCTGTTTATGCTCAGTCCCAGTGGGGACCAGTGCCTGGCTGCTGGGTGTGGCTGAAGGACGGGTTTGATTGCTCTCCCCTCCTCTCCCAAACTCAGCTCCTAATTCCTGCTGCATCCTGTGCTGGCTCCCACCTTCACCTCCTCTGTGACATCCCTCATGGTCACCTCCAGCCCCAGGAGCTCACTCTGCAGCACAGCCCATTGCTCACCCACTTCTAATGTCTAATCGAGCACCATTCCTCCCACCCAGCCCAGCAGACTTCGCCAAAAGAGGTTTTTCCTCCAAAAGTGCATCCCGAAGGAAGCTGGGAAAGGAAGGCAGAGAGTGAAGGAGCAGCTGGAGTGCAATCAGCTCTTACCACGTTCCAGAAGAGTGGGTTGAAGGCGATGGAGAGCACAGCCACAATGAAGCCAGTGTCAGTCACATCCACGTAGCCAAAGAGCTGTGCCATGGCTGCCACATCCACCTGGGGAGGGAGAGATGGTTACTGGAGTGCAGGTTCCCATGGGACACTGGCCATTACACCCAAATATGGGGCACTTCACCTCAAATCAAACCCATCAGCTGCCCCAAGTCTGGATGAATCTTCTTATGGCCCAAAGCAACACGTTACAGCTTGCAAACTGCTGTGTCAGGATGCAAAGCCCCGAAGAATGATGGGGGCTCCTCCAAGCCATTCCCCCAAACCCCAGGGCCACTGGCCTCTCTCCACAGCGAGGGGGGATATATCTGCATTGTAAGAAGCTGCAAAAGAATTTCCTCTCTTAATGACAACAACAAAAAGCCCTTAAAACTCACTGTTCTCCTTTTAAGAAAGAGATATTTTTCCCAGGATGGCTCTTGACATTGTCAGCACTTTTTACGTGCAGTAAGCCATGCTGCTTATCCCTCCTCATCCCCTTTCCCCTGTGCTGGTGTTTGATGAAAAACAGCAAGGGCCTTTTTTTTTTGCCAAAAACTTTGAAAACAACAGACAAAATAGCCCAGCCCAAGCCCTTCCCTCACTTGAAACAAAATCAAAGACAACATTGAGACATGGAAGGTTTTTGCTTCCCCAACACAGCTGTGTTTGCAAGTCCTTTGGGTGCCAGGGGACAGAATGGCTCGGAAAGGCATCAGCTCCACCTCGCCCATCCGGGAGAGAAATCCCCACTGACTCCTCAAAGGTCCTTGGAAAGAACCAGAGCCACGGTGTGATTCATGGACAGGGGTTGGTAAACCCAGTGCTGTTCCTAGCCTGAAGAAAAGGCTGTGGGAAGAAAGAAAACGCAGCTCCTGTGCTGGCCCAGGACACATCCAGTCGCTCCAAGTGCCTCCTGCCCAGCCGTGACCACCCGCAGTGCAAAGTGCAGGAGCAAAGGCCGTACAGCCACGGGGAAAAGGGGGATCTTTATGGGACTCCACAGCCTCCTTCAAACCATCACCACCCCAGCTCCCCCCGGCTCCTTCATCTGAGCCCTGGGGACACAGGTGCTGGCAAGGATCGATGGGAACAGCCCCCAGGGCCTGATCCTGACCTGTCTCCCCCTATTGCCACCCTTGCCAGCCTCTCCTCCCCTCCCTTCACCCCCAAGCAGCCCTTTGCCACCAGACCTTGAGCCTTCAAACTCTCAAGCCATAACCCAAGCACCCAGACAGCTGCTGGCACCGGGGCCGTACTGTCTAATCCCACTTCAATTGCAATCCTGCAGGACCAGGACAGCTTCTTTCCTCTCGTTTTGTACGGTGCTGAGCACACTGCCAGCACGGGCTGAACAAAAGCTTCTTGACCTACTAACTCTCGGCTGGCAACATCGTTAACATTGCACTCACCTTCTTTTCTGCTCCTCAACAACCAAATTCGCGGCTGCTGCCAGCGGGAGGCAGATTGGCCTGTGCCTGGTGTGTGCTTTTCGGGATAAAAGGGGAGCCCTAACGGGATGAGCTGTCTCTGCGAGCTGCTGGGACAGCCACGTAACAGGCACAGAACATTCAACTTTGCCCCCTCCTCCCTGATGAGAATCAATGACCGTGGCAAGCACTGCCCGCTTGTCCGCAGGCCCAAAGTCAGGGAGGGTGGGAGCTGCACAGGCACCTGGGTGAGAGATAAATGGGCACCTGGGTGAAAAACACATGGGCACCTGAGAGATATATGGGTATCTGGGTGAGAGATAAATGGGCACCTGAGTGAGAGCTGCACAGGCACCCATGTGAGAGCTGCATGGGTACCCAAACAAGACCTATATGGGCATACAGGTCAGAGCTGCACGGGCGCCTGGGTGAGAGATAAATGGGCACCTGGGTGAGAGCTGCACAGGCATTTAAACAAGAGCTGCAGAGGCACCTGGGTGAGAGCTGCACAGGCACCCAAGGTGAGAGCTGCACAGGCATCCAAACGAGCTTCACAGGCACTTGGGTGGGAGTAGCAAAAGCACCTGGGCAAGAGCTTCATGGGCACCCAGGTGAGACCTGCACGGGAACCCAAACGAACACCTGGCTGAGAACCGCACTGGCACCTGCATAAGCCATCACAGGCCTCCTGCGCGGTGCCGGTGCCGTCCTTGCTGCGTGGCCGGAGCACGGCTTGGGCGGTACCGGGCCGGGGAGGGCAGCAGGTGCACATGGGGCACCGGGTACCGATCGCCCCTGGGCCTGCTGCGCCTGCGGGCACAACCCGCGGGTTATTCCCAGCGGATTCGCCGAGCCCCGCGGTGGCACCGGCGGGAGGAGGAGGAGGAGGAGGAGGGGGGCGGGATCCACCCCCGGGCTCCCCGCGCTGCCCCGGGCCGGGCCCTCCCTCCTCCCTCCCGCCCGCAGCCCGCCGGTACCTGGCCGTAGTCCAGGCCGCCCAGCCCCTCGCAGCACTCCCGCGGGAAGCGCCGGGCCCCGCCCGCCGCCGCCTCCTCCTCCCGCCGCCCCGCGCCCGGCCCGGGCCACCCCGCCATGGCCGCGGCCGAGCGCGGGGCCCGCCGAGGCGCTGCCGGGAGCTGCGGTCCCGCCTCCCCGGGAGGAGCCGCGCCGGGGCCCGGGGCCTGCGGGATGGGCACGGCGCTGACCTGACCTCCCCTCCGGCCGCGGGTGCGGGAGCGCGTCCGGCCGCGCCGGGAGGGAGCGGGGGCGGCCCCGCGGCCGGGCCCGCACTTCGACCCTGCCCCGGGGCCGCACCGGGCGGCTGGAGCGGGGCTGGGAGTGGGACAGCCCCGGGGGGAGAGAGGGCGAGAACTGAGGGGGCACCGCTGGTGAGACAGGCACTGCCAACCCCTGCCTGCCCCCTGCCCGTTCCTGCCCTGTCTCCTGCTGACCTCTGCTCGACCCCTTTCCCATTCCCTTTTGTCCAGAGAAGCTGTGGCTGCCCCGTCCCTGGAGGTGTTCAGAGTGAGGTTGGAGCAACCTGGTCTGGTGAAAAGTGTCCCTGCCCGCGGAACGGGGTTGGAACTAAGTGATCTCTTAGATCCCCTCTATTCCCTTCCCAAACCGTTCTGGGATTCTGATTCCATGATCCCTGCCCTGGCCCCTGCCCAACCCCTTTCCATCCCCTGCCTTGCCTCTGTTCAGCGCTCCCACCAGAGCCAGGAGCTGGGAAACAACTCCAGTGGCTCCCTGGCACTGGAAATTAAATGTTGCTTGACGGATACTTGTCATTTCAGGGCAAAATGTAAAGCCATCAAGTCTGGATGTATTTTAAGGACAGTTCATTGCAGCCGTCTCCCTTCAGGCAGTGTGGTATATTTTTAATTGCTGTTATTATTACTGCTCATTATTTCTCCTCTGTGCTCCTCTCTGGGATGTTTGTGGTTGATGCACCTCATGGGCTGCAGTCCCGAACCCACCTGTGCCTGGGAAATCAGGTAGTATCATCCCTGCAGACCTCTGAGGGTCTCTGCTTTTGCTGACCCTGCTTTGCCAGGAAATAAATTTTCTTCAAAAAAGAATTTGGTGTGAATGAGCTGGGGAAGGGATGGGACATCCAAGCGCTCATGCCCTGACAGGTACTGAAAGCACGTGTGAACGATGGCTCCCAAGGAGCCTTCCCCAGGAAAATGGCATCCTTGGAGGATATGCTTCAGCAGAGCCAGGGGATCCCAGCTCAGCTCTACAGGAAACTGGGGCTTTCCTGGGTTCTGCTGCTCCAAACAGCTCGCTGCACCAGCACACCCCCACCTCCCTGCAGGCTTGGGGTGCTCACACAGGGCCTGTCAAGCACATTCACAGTATGAACTGGGCTGGTTTGGGGTGAGGCACTGTGGGTGGGAGCAACATTCCCCCTGGATGACCTCCAGCTGCTTCTGGCCTCTTCTCCCTCGCGGTGGATGATTCTGCTGTGCCAAGCGTGTAATTATCGGCTCTGCCATCTCCCAGGCTGGGCCGCAGGAGCAGGTGGGAGGATGTTTGTTCTGTGAGTCCCACCAGCTGGGTGCTGGGAGCGGCAGGAAGGGCGATGGGGACGTGGTGGGGAAAGCAATGAACGTCCCCTCCTGGAGGGAATTAGCAGGGAGGAACCTCCAAACTGTCCTCCCGGCTGCAAGGGGAAGATGTCCTGGTGATGCCAGTGCTGCCAGCTGGGAAAGGACAAGGATGTCGTGGCACAGCTGGAGGAGGAATGGGTCTGGCTGAGGGATGGAGGATGGTGAGGAGGTGCAGAGGGATGAGCTGTCTCACTGGCTCCTTGTTTGAGGCCAGCAGAGCTGAGCTGTCGCAGACACATCTGTCCTGTCACCCCAGTGGAGGCATGTGCTGCAGGACCCAGTGTCCTACCACCATCTCAGCAGCATTTAGGGCAAAGAATGAGCTCTCACACCATTCCCACTGCCAAATCCCCTGTCCAGGGAAAATTTTCCATGTAAGAGGGAAAGGGGATGTTTGTGTCAGCAGGGCCCCTCCATGCTGGCCTTCATCCCACCTTAGATAGATCCCTGCAGCTGTGAAGGAGACAAAGAGGGCTTTCTGCACGGGATTTTTCTTTGTGTCCCCATCCCTCCCCTTCTCCCCGTGGTGTGCCGTTTATCCAGCTCTCCGTTTCCAAGCACTGAGGGCATTGCCCTCAGCTGTGCCAAATCTGTTCTCAGCTTGAACTCCCCAGTGCCCTTTGAAATCCCACCGTGGTCCCAAGAGGTCACCGGTGAATATGGAGTTGCATCAGTCCGGTCAAGGATACTACATGTGTGTTAGCAGGACACTGGCTTGGCGAGATGCAGTTTGCTCAGGAGCATTTCAAACCCAACCCAGGGAATTCCCAACATGTGGAAATCCAGGGCAGGGAGTGCTCCTGGGTGGGTTTTCCTTAGGAATAGGACATTGGTCAGAAAACCGCATCCAGGTAACTTCAGCACAGAGGGTCATCTCTCCTTACAAGCTCAGGAGAAAGTTTCCAAGCCAAAGCATTGATTTCCTTGCTGAAAAGAAAAATAAAAAATGAGGGATATAAACCACACATGGCTTCCACTCTCCACAGGAGACTCTTGCTGCCATCCTCTGATTGCAGGACATGCTGATGAACTCCCCTGTTTACCTGGGGCTCCTGTAACTGCCCCCTCATCCCTCACTCCAGCCAGATGAGCCAGGCTTTCTGGCTATCTCCAGTTATCCTGGAAGGGCCACTTTCTGCTGGCAGTCTCGGTTTCTCGTATCTGAGCTTGCAATCCCACCCCAGCTTTGTCCCTTGCTGACAGAAGTCCTATGGGCACAGCATGGATCTGGGGCCTTTTTCCCATTCTTTTGTGCCACCTTTCCTGTGTTGTGGTCCCCATGCCCTGAAATAAAGCTGATCCCTGTGGGTTTTACACTTGCAAACCTGCAAGGGCCTGGACTGGTGGCTTGTGGAGATCAAGGACGGAGCATTGAAACACACGGTGAAGGACAACAAATAGTGCTGGAGCACAGAGCTGAAACCTTGGGGAGAAGCAGCAAAATTGCAGCTACTCTTGTGTCCTCCATCAGATAACGCGCTATCACCAGCGGTGCTATGCTGCAATCCAGACCTGCAATCCTGGTGGAAATCCTCTAGTGTTTGTGCTGGAGGTTAGCTCTATTTATTTTCTGATGAATGATTTACTCGAGTAATTGGCACACAGCTCCCCTATTACAGATCATAAAGAATTAATCACGAGATTTTCAATGTTCCCCTATCAATTTTATTAGGCTTGATTGAACGCGGTGGATTGGGAGCATATGGTATGTGAGGCAGACTCTGCTCCCAGTTACACCCTGGTTATGCTGAGGACTCGCTCAGTTGCTGATCCCTGTAAATTGAGAGAGGCATCTGCTCCTTCCCTTGTTCCCATGCCCTCCCTGTTCCTTGAGTTCCCTTAAATACCAAGGGATGCAGAGAACAACCAACACCACCTCCATGTACCTAAATTCTCCAAAAGCCTGAGATGCTCCCAAACTGGCAGCCAAGCTGGGAAAAGGATGCTTTGCTTCCAGCTTGTCCATGGATCAGCATGAGCCAAAAACCAGAGCCAAGTGCTTGGGAGCTCAGGATCTGCCCCTGCGAAGGGGCCGTGTCACGGCGTGGGAGGCTTGTCAAAGCTGAGGATGCCTGTGTTGGCGTTGGGGCATCGTGCCAGGCAGGTTTGCCCACGGGAAATGCTTTCTGGGAAGAACTGGCAAAAAGAAGTCCTAACACCTGCAGGAAGAGAATGACACGTCCCTGCCCCGAACCAGCAGCGCAGTGTGATTCCCTGGAGCAGAAACCTCTTTAAAAGCCACATCCCCTGCGTGGTTCCCCTCATGCGGAGAACCAGGAAAACCTTCAAAATTTCCATGTGGAAGGCTCACAGTCCTTCCCTTGCTCTTCGCCTGTGGGTGTTGTTATCGTGCAGAGTCGTGATTCAGGGAAGGGGACGGTGCAGGGCCCTGCTCCAGCCCGTGGGCAGCACTCACCTCACTGGGAGCTGCTCCTGGTGTGCTCCCAGTAACTGCACCAGTATCTCAGTAGGAATTTACAAGAGGGAATGGGAACTTTGGGAGCTACTTGCATAAGCCCAGCTTATCCAGAACCAGGCTCGCAGAGCAGCC